TTTGATTTCCTCTTGGGATATCCAGGGTGTTCAGATAACATAATACATTTCTAAGGAGAGCTGTTTCAATGTCTCTTTTTTCATCTTTTATAATTATTGTTCTGCTTCTTGCTTCTACAGTGGAAAGATTATGCAATTTTATAAAAGGATTTTCAGACATACTCCACATGTGAGTATTAAAGTGTACCTCTGTCCTAATATATCTAAAGCCTCATACCCATTTAAACATACTGCAGAGTTTTTAAATCTTGTTTTTGCTGTATATAAAATGGTAAATGTATATAATCCTATATAAACGCAGGCCTGTCTGTAGTCAGTGAAAGTTTTCCTTAGGCTGTAACTCTTCCAGGATTTCAGCTTCCACATGTGTGGACTACAGAAGTACATGTGACATAATAATACGCTTATTTTCTTACTATTTTAGAAATTGTTATATGTGATTCTTTTTATACCATTCTTTTCAAACATATTAATTATATGTACTGGAACTGTGCAAGGAAGTCTGAAACATTCCTTGAATCACTCAATAACTGCAGTCTGAAGACTGCAAGAAATTTACCCTTGGAATTTGGTGAATCCATGCTGACCACGTTATTAGCTCATTTTCTTTGCTTTCTTTCTGTTTCTATCTTTGTTTACCTTTATTTATTTTTCATGTGGTGAAGACCTTTGAGGTTTCTTTTTTCCTTTGGTGAAGGAAGTAAGCTTAAGTATCAAAGATTTTTCTGCTTGTGGAAATTACATGTTGTGATATGTTTTTTCAAGTAAGGTGCTGGACACAAAGTAAAGAATGCAAGCTCGCTCACTTAAATGATGATTTTAAAGTTCTTGAAAATACTAACCAAATATTAACTGAAAGATATGGTTTCCTGAAGCTACAGTGTAGTAATAGGCATGAATCTATTTATATACTCAAAAGTTTAAACTGCAGAATGCATATTTGTATAGTAAAAATGCCTAGTAACTGTTCTGAAAATAAATTTAAAAAAAAGAGAAATGTTGATGAAAATGAAGAAAAGGGTAGAGAAAATATTGGCAAATTGGGAAAGAAAAAAATAAAAGCAGATATATTTTTCAGCCAAAATAATAATCATAAAATCTTAATCTGAATTTCAAGAGCTTCCCACTGGAATCTGAAAAATTCTGTTTCGAAATGCTGCCTCAAGTGCATTTTGGAAAATGGTCTTTGTAGCTTCTTGCTGCTTTGCTCATGTTCCGTGCTGGTGTTCCTGGCCAGATGACACGCTCATGGGTGTCCCCTGGGGCTGCTGAGACATTGCAATGGGTTTGGGGAAGTCACCAGCCCCAAGCAGCGTGAGGAAGTTTGCCCACGTGACAGGTTTGGCCAGTAGCCCCAGAGCAGTAGGTGCAACACATTTCAGCTTTTAACTTCCAGTGAGGTGTTACAGCAACACTACAGATTAAAATGCCTTCATTTCAGTCAAAGGTTGAAGTCACTAACTTTGGTTAGGCCAAGAGGCCTGAAACCTTCCCATTTTCAAAGGTTTTGCTTGTTGACCAAACTTTAAACTTTTCACGGAATGCAGCTTTCTTTACGATTTAAAATAAAAATAGATGGAAGCTGGTCACCTCACCAAATGCACCACCAGTGATTTGATGATAGCTGGGGAACAAATAGCATAGCCCTGTCGTATATTACATTTCTCCCAACCATTTGACCCGGACTATGTTCTTTCTACTTTGTTCTTGTGCTTTGTTCTTTGTTCCGTCCACATCAAGAATTTTTCTAAGCTCTTTGAGAGCTTCTCTGAGCAACAGCCATAGAAAAGTCACCCTGCCAAAAAAGTATCCTTTTCCATGACTGGATCCCACATTTTCCACTCCTTTGAAGAACACCACCACCAATAACAGCAAAAATAATAGATGCATCAAAAGTTACACTGCTGTGAGGCTTAGGGTGAGAAAATTTCAATGAATACTAGAAACAGGTGTAACATTCCACATATAGTTCCCTGAAAGATTATAAGTCAAAATTGTATCATTTAATATATGCATAGAAATGGTAGTGTCACCATATATTATGAGATACAACTACAGTCCTTGCAGTGTTTCAGCTCCTTTTTTCCCTGTCGTCTGTACAGCTAATATCAGATGACAACGCTGAGATCCACCAATTCTTTGCTAATGCCCTGCTCAAAACCAGGGCCAGCGTGTGACATCATGCTTTCTGCCTCCCTCCCGTGCCTCTTGTTTGCTTTCTCTATCTTGCTCCCTCTCAGATGCAAATACATATATCTTTATTGGTCTCTCATGCATATTTCTATGCATTAACAGTGATACACAGTCTTTTTACAGGAAGAATTCAGAACACTACCTTTAGTCATGTGAGATAATTTTCTGTATCTCTGAGAAAGCTATTTATAAGGGTCTTGATTGAGGAATGAAAGAAAGACTAAAGCAGTTCAGTAGAAATTATCTTCCTAATGGTAAAGTCTGAATTATACATTAAAGTACCATTTATTCAATGAATTTTATTATTCTGTTTAAAAAGGCAGAGACTTTTTATGTGTTTCGTGTGCTTACAAAGGTTTATTAGCTTGAGTAAAAGGTTATTATTATTCAATTGAATAATTGAATTTTAAATTATTGGTATTGCACTTCATATTATAACTGCTTTTCCAGATGCATTTGATTATGTCAAATTTGCCTTTTAATCCCCTGTCTGGAGACCATTTTCTTGAATCATGCACTGTTTCTCACCCTCCGTGGTGGTATCCTAATGAACACACACAGTCCAGTCTCACATCTCCCATGTAAATTACTGTGCATACCTCTTCTAGTCAGATCACATCGGAGGCTATCTGGTGTCATATAATCCTGGATACTGATATGTGGAAAATCTTTTCAGGTGATTAATGCCACAGGCATCTAATTTTCCTGCAAAGCACTATTATGGGACTGCAGTGTTTACGTGAATGCCAGACTTAGGGATATGAAATGTACATTTAGAAAAGTTAATAATATGTGCCTAATCCCCTCCAAGAATTATCTGTTGGTATTTCTATAAATAATTGCAGCTTTATTTCTTGTCTCTAATTGAATCACATATTAATTTATTAGACGTATTATTCATTAAAACACTTGGAACTTTGCTGGAAATCTCATTGCGTGGGTGAAATAAATACATGTAAAGCTACACATAAAATATCTTTGCATTTGAAACATATATATTAAGTAAAAAAAAGTCACAAAATAACTGTGCTTTGGTGTTTGCTTACTTGCTTTGTTTGTTTGTTTGCTTAATGCTCAAGCAAAGGTGCCTTTCAGAAAGGTTTCTCGTTTGCTGGAAACATAACATTCGTCCTTGACAGTACACTTGGAAACTGCGATTCCTGGGCGTAACACTGAAATTCTCGATTAAGATAACAAACGATACACAAAACAATCCAACATAATAAAATATCACGGTAGGCAGCTCCGGAGTGGAATATTCTGTAAGCACCAATTCTTCATTGTTACATCCAATACTGCACTGATACTGTCAGCGTGGCTGAAGGTGCTGCGTTTGCTTGCATGTACCTCTGAATTACCTAATTGTCTGCTGTTATCAGGCTGCTTCTACCTCTCCTGGAGAGTTTTTCCCTGAGCCAGGGGTTGTCCATTAACTTCACTACAGGCAGGATCAGCCTTCCACAGCCTTCTGTAATTTCGAGCAAATTATGTTTTAGAAAGTAATCATTGATTCCTAAGATTTGACATAGGATAGGAAGCACTTTAAAAGTGGTTTTGAATACTCTTAATTAGCTCAAGAATTACAGGCTCATTGCTCTCTTACTCTGCCATTACAAGCATTTATCTCAACTGATTTCAACAGAGTTGCTTCTGTTTTACACTGGTGTGAGGGAACAAAAAACCCAGGTTGCATAAATTGTTAACAGCTCTTTCATGCTGCCTCTTTATTACCAGATAAAACTTTGATGAAGGACATTCACAGAAGATCAATATGAGAAACCACATAAGACCTGACTTTTATGCTACTGGCTGATACTGAAAAATCACAGAAATAAGTATTTGTTTTTGAAGCTCTTACTTAAGCCGATGATTGGTTTGGTGCTGTTTTTCCTGAAAGAAATATTTCACCTTTATGAGACGTACTGCCTCCTGAGCAAAGTTACTCCTTGGCTCCGATTGCAGGGATGTGGGAAAGGGAACAGAGTGCAGTCATTCATCCGGTAACAAGCAACTTCATCTGACAGTCTTCGTTTGAGGGAATAAGGACCCACGTTCGCTTCTCCACTTGGTGTAGATGCTGCTCCCAGCTGATTTAGGCACCCTAGGAGGCTCAGGGGGAAAGGCTGCGTGTCTCAGGAGGGGAACTAGGGGCTCTGGGGAAGTTTGGGGTCTTCTTCCAAAGAACAGGCAAATCGCCTCCTTGCTGGCAATCTTTACCTGTAATTTATAGAGGCCAGCTCGCAGCTGTGGGGCAAACAACAAATGGTATTGAACTGGCCAGTAATATACTGTCTGTGAGCTAATATAGCTCAGGATATATTCACTGCCATTGAGATTCACTTAGATAGCAGTGTTTGTTCATGTAGTGGTTTATCTGTGTATGAAGAAGTGAGCAGGAGTTAAAGTGCAACTGCAATCACATATAGTAAATCCAATTTATATTAATATTCCTCCAACCTAATAGCTGGCAAATACACGTTTCTGCACTTCTAGCAGTCTGCCTTAATTTGTTTCTGTCAAACGTCAAGCAAACATTTTATCATAGGTTTGTGGGTTGTTTGTTTTTTTTTTCTAAAACAACCCAAACATATCACCACTGAAGGTCATAGAGGTGAATATTTTTAGAAAGTTTACTCTTCACACGCTTAATCAAGACCATCATACTTTACTTGCTTTCTGCCAACCGTTACTAAAGCCATCCACAGTCTTCGAAATCCAAGTGTTATGAAGTGGAAATGCCTGTTCAGGAAAGAGCTCTGGTACGACCGAGTCTCGATGACAGGCTTAATCCCAAGCTCAGTGGAAACTCAGTTGTGCTCCTTTTTCTCCCTGAGGTAGTTAAAGAGGACATCCAGCCCCCCCTCGACGACCTCGGGCAGGGGCCGGGACAAGGGGTTGTGGGCGATGTGGAGGCCCTTGTCCATGGGGTTCCACGCGATGCGTTGCAGCCGGCGCAGCAGGTAGAGGTCATCTGGGAGAGTCTGTATGGCGTTGTAATCGACGTTTAGTAACTCCAGAGTGGTGAGGAAGCAGAGGGACCGTGGCAGGCTGCGTATGTTGTTATTCTCTATGATAAAGATTTGCAGATTGACCAGATACTGGACACTCTCTGCGATGCTTTCAAGCCTGTTGGACCCTAGGTGCAAGAAGTCCAAGTTCCTCAGTGCGTAAATGCAGAGGGGAATTTGCACAAAGTGGTTGTTGCTGAGGTTCAGTTTTCTCAAACTTGTCAGGTCCGTGAAGCTCAAAGGCAGTTGTGAGATGCAGTTGTGCGAGAGGCTCAAAACCTCCAGCTTCCTGCACAAGCTGAGCTCTGCTGGCACCTCTGTCAGGCAGTTCATATTGACGAACAAGACCTTCAGGTTCCTCAGCAGCCCAATCTCTTTAGGCAGACACTTCAGGCAGTTGCCACCCAAGTTCAGCACTACCAGCCTGTCCAGTTTCCCCAGCGAAGGAGGAATCACCACCAGCTGGTTGCGTGAAAGGTTCAGTTTCTGCACCTCGGGCAGTCCCCACAAGAAGTCAGGCGTGCTGGTCATCCCTTTCATTATGAGGCTCAAGCTGACATAACGCAACCCCCGTTTCAGCAGTGACTTAGGCTCTTTCCCTGAGAGAAGAGCATCTTCCCACGCAGGCAACTTTGGACCTTTCCTCAGAAAAACCATGCTGCTTCGCCGCTCGTTCTTTGAGTGCTCAGTTCCCATAACACCCTGGATCCCTCCTGGGAGATGAAGTGAGGTTTTCTTCCTGTGCAAGTGCTACACCAACACGCAAATGCCAACCGGGGATGACAGCTTGCAGGAGGCGGGAAAGTCAAAGCAAGGAGACAAGGAGGAGCCTGTGAAGTGCATCTCAGTCCACCGAGGCAGTTTCCATGGCTGCTGAGGGAAAGTTTCACTTTTGGGGGCTTATGACGGTCTTGGTGCACAGTCTGTAATGAAATACTTGCTCCTGACTTGTGAGCAAACCTGTTCAATTCAAACTGAATGCCACAAGGCAGCTGTCACTGTCATTTGGCCTGGGCTTTATTGGACAGATATGTGTCTTCACTGCAAAAAGGTCACAAGGATGCTGTATATAACTTCACCATGTCAGCTTTCTTGGATATCTGGTACATACCATGGCTGCAGGACAATTAACAAGAGTGACTTCAAAAAAAACAAGCAGACAAGCTACAGAAGAAAACAAGCGAACGAAGATGCCATCATTTCAATTCAGATGTAAAGCACCTTTTCACAGTCATTTTTATTTTATTCTTCCTGATTTCACTGAAATATTTACCAGTCCACCAGAAAACTTTGCACGCTGCAAAAAATGCTTGTAAAGGCTTCTATGTGAGTCCTGTTTTCTCTTTAGTTAAGAGAAAAAAAAGAAGAAAATGTTAATGCTTGTAAAAAATGTTAGCTTTTATATCCCCTTTGTAGTAAGGATAGGCCTCTTTCTTTTCAGAAAGGGTACCACCTTCACTGCAGCAGTGACATTTTCCAGCGGTATATGCGCCCACTTGGATGATTGCTCGCTACCCACGTCGCCAAGTGTGAGCGGTCATACCACGCAGTTCTGCACAAATTACTCTGTCTTAAATGTCCTGTGCTACTTTCACATTTATCAGTGAGATTTTTGGGGCCTGGTTCTTTTGTGCTGCAGAAAATGTAGCCACTCTATATCCCTTTTCCCGTGATCTTTCCTGTCTTTCTGGGCTATTCTTGGGTACGGGGGGACTAGCAGTTAAATAGCTCGAACTATAAATGACATTTAACTCTGGGATAGAAGGACTGATGGGAGAGGAAGGAAGCAGTGAGGTATAATAATACCCGAGAACAGCTGAAGCAAGCTCTGCTGATGAAAGGAAATTGTATTGCTACAGGAATATACAGTGAGTTTAAAATCAAAGGGACCCTAAAAAGGATACTCAAAAACTTTGGGCACCAGGTGAAAATTGCAGCAAATAGTACAAGACTTTCAGGGTTTTTCCTCTTTAGTGGATCTGTGGCGATGGAGATGCTTTGCTGCTACCCGAGAGACATGATGGTGGGTGTACCCTCCCTCCCCACAACCTCATTTCTGAGAGCCTCACCTTAAAACCCTGCATTATTAGCTCAGGTGCTTAAGGACTATGCATGGAGCTGCAGCTGGGAGTCGGGGCACTCCAGCAACCTCTGTGGATTGAGTCCCCGCAGTCCCTTCCTACTGCTGAGCACCACTCAGTCTCTTTTCAGCCTCAGGTTCCTCCCAGAGCTGCCCTTGTCTGGGAGGAGAGGGGATAGAGGGAGCATCCCTGCGGCTGTGTCCATCGAGCCAAGTCCTACAGCAGCAGAGCAGCCAGGACCACAGCAATAAGTGCGAGATGGTGGCGAGATGAGTGAGCCACATAATTAAAACATGCCCTTCACAGGGTCACATGGCATGAAAACAACTGATCCTGAGGCTGAAATGTTGTGTTCCCTGGAGTGCCTGGACGAGCCTGGAAAGGGCTGAGTCTAGATGAAGTTGTTTGGTTAGAGCGGGTTGGCAGCCTGACTGAGAGCCACAGATCCCTCCCTCGCAAGCACTTTCCGCCAATATTTGTCTGCTTACAAACTAACATTATATTAAATCCCATGGCAGCCGTAAGCTCTGACTCTTGTTCTTGTTCTCCACCATCCAGACGTGCTGCCCAGCGTGGGGAGACAACCCTGCTGCTGTAGGCGGAGGGGCTGCTTCGTGAGAGAAGAGGAAACCCAACGCAGGCCAAGCTTGGGCCAGATTCAGCATTTCATGACAGGAGGACCCCAGGCTAAAATGTGTCCCTTCAGCCCACGCAGGTAGAGAAGCAAAAAAAAAAAAAGAGCATCTCCCAAGCCCTGACTGCCCAGCTGTGCTTAAAAAACCACTTATTATCAGGCAGCTTAAATGGATTTGGACAAGGCATTCTCTTCTGCAGCAGCAAACATGAAGGAAAGAAAAGAAAAAAAAAAAGCCTTTTAGAGAACATTTACAAAGTTGTGCATTTCCTTTCTTTTAATGGCACCACTGGAAGGAGGAACTTGCCACAGGTCTCCCTACCACCGGGCCTTGTGCGTGCCCACGTTCCCACCGTCCCTTCAGGGCTCCTCCTTCAGGAGGTCACTTTTAGTAACAACTGAAAACAAAACACAAAGGAAGCACAGTCTCCCTGTAGCCACAGTCTCCCCTCTGCCTGGCTGGCCAGATATTTTTGGATGAGGACATCGTCCCCATCTCCAAAACGCATTAGAGTTCACTGCCCGGGGACTTGGCAGAGCCGGGTCCGGCCTCTCACCACAGAAATCCCCATTTCCTAACAACGTGACTCAGCCAAAGGGCTCTGTACCCTTCCCTGGCTTTGCATTGTGATGCCGATTCGAAACCGAAGCCTGTGATAACAGCCCGGTACGGTCTGGGTCCAGCTGTTGTTGGAAAGCTTCACCCGGGGCTCTCCATCAAACGAGAGCGCTCGCTCTGCTCCCGTCTGGCAGCATCTCCTGCTCTTGCAGTGCTCTATCTCCACGGCCTGTCGGGCAGCAGCAGCAGCAGCGGAGATTTAAAAAAGAAATTCCACATCTGCAGCTTCCATTGTCCAGTTCCCTTCCTGCCTCTGCAAGTACCGTAACTGCTGCGTGAAGGGAAAAAAAAAATAACCATTTCCTTTTCTTTGTTCTCCAACAGAAAAACAGGCTATTGAGCACGCTTGCAGTTGTGGGGACGGGAAACTCTGAGGTAACCAAATTAAATTCCTTTCTTGAAATGGGTATAATAAACCCACAGTGGCCTCATCTGGACATCTCAGGAACTAAATTTCTGAACAAAACCAGTCGTTTTTTGTTGGAGTCCTGGGCTGGTTTTGTTCCAACGCTTTCCAGTCCCCTTTTCTCTGAGTTCCTGGTGCCCTGCCCTGCCCCGTGCTGTGCTGGGGGCACAGACTGGTTTCTTTGGGCTCCTCTTTAGGTATCCAGGCCAGCGAAACACTGACCTGTGTCGACACAGCCTGGCAGAAAGCAGAAATTAATTTTGTGTGTGGAAGTTTGGCAAGTTTTGAAAAAAAAAACCCAAAACAATTCGGTGGGATTTACATGATACAGTGCAGTTGATCATTGCTTCGTGGATTAAACAAAAATTTTAGTGTGGGGGGGGAACAAAATGACCCAAAACTTGCTGAAGGACTTTGTAGTCTAACTAATATAATACGAGAAACTGCACTATTAGCAATAATAAAAACCCTGTACACTGACAAAAATGACAAGCTATATTTTATGATGTTCTTTGACAATGAAAATTATTAGATTTTTTCTTTTTTATTTTTTTGAAGAAAGCAGGATTGTCAGTCCTGAAAAAACCTGAAAGATGAGTACACAAAGACCTGAAATTTTAAGGTATTTTATCTAGGGCTCTTTTATTTGCCTGCAGGTTTGGCATCTCTAGAGTACACTTGGGAAACATTTTCAAGCTTTTCTCTGCAGCCATGTGGGGAGGCTGGACAATTGCTTTGTTTTTAAATAAAAGTTGAGATCATCACATAATTATTTTTGCACAGGATTTGAGCTTTTAATGAAATATCCAATAGCATCAGGCTTTTAATGAAACCATAGCCATCTTGACACATTGAATTTAAATTTGGTTTTCCTGCAAAACCTAATCTATTTTATCCTTACCAATATTTTAAATTGGTAAGCATGCAATAGCTGCCTGTAGTTTCATGAGCATGTACCTATAGGTTCCTAATTGGTTTTGTGGCAAATTTCATGTTCTCTATCAAGTCAAAATTTTATATGGTTCCTCTGGCTCACCTTTATTAACAAAATGTGCTACTATAATGAGTTTAAATCTTTAAGCATAGCCTTTTGGAAAATGCTGGGAAGTTCAGCCCATACTCTTTTGGAAGAAATTTTCATTTTCATTCATTATCTAGGTATTATGATAAACACCTGGCTAAATGAGGATGCAGAAACTACCTAACCCTTCCTGTGACAGGAAGGATGCTTTGGCTAAAAAGGGTTAAACTGTTTCAAGTTCAGCAGAAATCAACAGTCATGACAGAGATACATCCACTACAAATACAATTGCAACTACTGAACCATCTTCTCTTGTGCTGTTCCTTTCCTCTGAAGTAAATAAAGGGTTTTAAAAGTGTCAGTGCCACACAGACCATCAAAGATATCCTCCGGTCTTAGTGCTAAGGAAGCAAATTTTGTACATTTTTAACTACTTTGTAGTGGTTTGTTGATCTTGCAGCTATTCTGAAATTCGAAGTCAGATTTCAAAGGTAATTTGAGATTTATGAGATGTGACACAAGACAGGAACAATCCTTAAGGCAATTTCAGATTTCCTGTTAATTTGTTTTTAATTACGGTGCTGTTAACAGCCTTTAATGCCTGTATGTCCCTGGAGCTTTCCTGGAATGTTTTATTAAGGTCCCATGCGGAGCTGCTGGATTGCCTGACCCATGAAGAATTGGACCTGGAGGTGAACGACTGCCTGTGCAGCGGCTTATTTAACGAGAGCTTTGGCAAAGTTTTTCTGCAGACATCTTGACAGGATACAAGCTCAAACTACCCATACTGCGGAATAAGAAGAGAAAGATTTGGATTTGTGTGTATGTAGACTAGAAATGACAGGCTCGATTCCTCCCAGTAGGCAGGGGCCAGCAGCGACTCCCATGTTACATGGAATTACAGGAAGTTTTATTTCTAGAATATGCATAAATGATTAGTCAGCTCCTACTTCTGCCATAATCTCCCTGTGTGTACACAAGCCAAACAGCTGGTGTGTCTGGCTATATTAAACAGAGGTGACTCAGAGTCCTACACTGCGATATCCCCTGTGTCCTCTGGGGCACTGGTTTGTCCCCTTGCC